TTTTTAGTTTTTTGCAGTATTTCCGACTTTTTTATTATGCGGGTGCGTGTGTTTGCGCAGAGGCGTGTGCGTGCAGTCCTGGTTTTTATGGGGAGCAGCACCGGATGAGTGCGGTGCGGGTTGTGGTGGGCGGCAGGCGCCGTCTACGTTTTGTGTGGAGCGTTTTATTCTTTTTTGGTCTATTTTTTTCTGTTTCATGCTGTGCGGGATTGGGGGGTGCCTATTTGCGTGTGTGTGTGTGCAGTGGCGTTGATCACGCCGGTGTGGGACGGTGGCCGGCGGGGTTCACGGGCAGCAGCCCTTCGCACCCACCACGTTGTTGTTGTCGCTGACTCTCCTCAACACTCTGCGGTGCGTGGGGCACTCACATTGCCGTCGTGGTGGCCCCCCTGCGTGTGTGTAAGGTGTGCGCCGTGTACTGGGTGGGTTGCTTTCGCTTTTGCTGCCGCTTCGTTGAGTCATGTATGTGCTTATTTTGTTCCTCTTTTCTCCCTCTCACTCTCCTTTTGACTGGTGCCTAGTGTTCAGCTGCAGCTAAGGCCAAGTCAACAAAATACGAAGGAAGCAATGCCTGCAAGGCAAGAGAGAGTGCGTGCTGGTAATAGGAAACAGTGTCCCGCACCTGATGTGCCGCACGGAGGAGAGCGTCAGGCGATGTTGGAGTCTGATGGCAACAGCCAACAACCTGCACTGCAGCGCCGAAGAGTGGAGGAAACTCTGCAGCAACCAAAGTGGACCCTTGAGAGTCCTGTTAGGGATATACTGCTGGAGGGGAGCTTGGCTGTTAAATTGAAGCTGAATGATTTCCTTCGAGGTAAATTTTGTGGCATGGGCGTTGTGGAGTCCAATGAGAGCGTCTTGATGGAGGAGTTTGCTGCGCACCCCACGAGGTTTATCGACGACACAAAATTACTGGACACAATAAAGACATCGGAGTCGTATAACTTGGCTCGGTGCGTGATGGAATGGAGGAAAGGTGCTGAAATGATTACCATGCGTGACGTGGCCTATCTTCATGGCAAAGGTGTGTCCACCCTAAAACAGTGGTGGGAATTTGAAGACGAGGGTATGGGTGGTACTGAGAGCAGGCAAAAACTTGACAGGGTGCTACATGAAGTGCGGATGCGGACAATACTGCTTAAAACACAGGTGCTGGAGGGTTTGTACGAGTCCGTATACAATGCGAGGTGGAGCCACGTTATGGAAGCGGCTGACGTTGAGGCAGGGATGGGACTGAAGGTGAAAGAAGGAAAACCACCACAGTCATGGGAGTACAAGGAGGAAGGTGGAACTCTCGAAATCCATAACGAAAAAAAGAGACTCCATCCGCCACGTCTCAGGCTGATGGTGCTCTCCTCTGAGAGGCAATGGCCCTACTCCTGGAGTAGGGTGGAAGGTATTACTGACTGCTACGTTACCGCTGAGGTTGAGCGGGTGTGGAAGGTCGTTGAGGGCGATCTCAAAGGATTGTTCGGCACTGACGGTCCAAAAATCTTTAAAACATGGCGGCACCTTTTGATTGGGACGTCCGGGATAGGGAAATCGATGGCGGCTGGCTCTTACCTCCTTTATCAGCTGCTGCACTACGACGCTGCGAAGTTCCATGTGGTTGTGTACTGCTTTGGAAGAGAGTTGGCATACGTGTTTGACAAGACGGCACAAACGGTGTCAGAATACAAAGCTGAGGACGATATTATGATTGTTGTAAAAGATCTAGCTCAGCGTGGAATGAGAGGGTATGTTATCTGCGATGCAGCAATGCAGGGAGCACCGTCACCGGCGCATTTCCCGCCTTCCAAATCATGGGGCATGATTCTCGTGTCATCCCCAGACAGGAACCAATTTGAAGTTTGGAAGCAGGCAATGCATCCCAGGCAGATTATAATGAATTGCCCTGACGCGATTGATGTGAAGGCGATGTATGTCTGGGAACGCCGCGATCAGCCTGTGCAGGAGCAAGCGGAGTGCTGGAAGATGGTCGAACAACACATGTGTAACGTGGGCCCGATTCCACTTTGCATCTTCAGCGAGGCCGAGTACGTGGAACGCTTTAACGCGACTGAGGATGCTGTGAAGTCGATGAGCGCTTCGGATGCTGAGCGTTACTCCGTTATCGGAACTGGGAAACTGTGGCATTTCGAGGGTGCGTCTCACCAGCTTCTGAGGCTTGACCGAAAAAGGGGAGATACCGGGTGTGAGGCATTTCTCAATGTGCCGATATGTGAGAAACTGTGGCTGCAAATATTTGATAAGTTGGCAACGATAATGGGGGAGAAAGATGTATTATTGCTGGTATGGAGGTTGAAGGAGTCCTGCTTGCCAGAAGCTCGTGAAAACTATATTGTGCCTGCATTTACACTGTGGGGCTTTGTGGGGGCGATACAATACAAACTCAAGGAACTGACACCGCCAGAATGGCGCCCGCGACGGCCCTGTGCACTGCGAGTGTGGCCTTCTGACCACCCCAAAAAGTCCGTTTTATTGCTGCGAAAGGAATACAACCCTGCGAAGGTTGACATAAAGTACGGGGTGTTGTATGAACCGGAGGACGAAAGCTTCCCATTGTTGGACGCCTTTTTCTTCCTCAAGCCACCGCAGAACACGATGGTTGGGCTGCAGGTGAAGACCTCAAAAAGAAAACACATTACAGCCAGCATCGTGAGGCGGCTCAGTGAGTATCTGGCGGAGTATTTTAATGTGAGGAAAACCTTTGCTCTCGACCTATTATGGGAGATTATCTACGTGCACTATCCAGAGAGTGTGCCAATAAACAGGTGGCAAAGGTGTGATCTCGTTCAGCACCCGCACGGGGATGAAGGCAAAGCGGAGGAGATAATTGCGGCATTTTGGAAGCGGCAGGTGCATCAGTACAATGTGGCGATATCACCTGAAGACCTGCATGTCGTCTGTGGTGGTTGAAGCGGTTTCTTGTTTCCCCTCAGCCTTTTTTGAGGTGCTTCACTTCCACGAGCACCGCCGTCCGGCTGGGAGGCGGGCGATTGTGTTTGGGTTGTTGGCGGTGGCGGTGGTATCGCTGCGAGAGTTTGTTTTTGTGGCCGCACAGCGAAGGCATCTGCTGCATGTGTCTTGTCGTGGTGGTGCTGCCACCTTCATTTACTGCCAAGTCTCGTGTAAGAAATGGTGCTGCGTGCACCGTTTATTTTGTATTATTTTTTCATTTTTATTTTTTATGTTTCTTTTTTTTTTTTAAAAAAAAAAGTGTTGCACCCCACTCCTGCTGCAGTGTGCTGAGGGAAGTGGAGGGCGTTGGGGAGTTTGTGGGGGCCGTGATGGGAGGTCCCGCCGGCATGCGCACTGCGTGTTGCCGCTGGCGGGGTTTGAAGGGGCTGGACGGAGGAGACGGTAAGCGGGGTGCCTATGAATTTGTTTTGTATATTGTTGTGATTTATGCAGGGGCGTCCCACAGTGCGGACTCTCCGTGCGGGTGTGTGTGGGTATTTCTTATGGCTGCGGCGAGTGTGCGATTGTGCGGTCCACGCGTTCGTCAGTGCGGCCTTCGTTATGAGCTCCCGCTGTTCTTTGCGCGGTGCCCATTGTTTTTTTTATTCTTACTCTTTTTACCTCGCTTTTCTCTCACACATGAAGAAGAAAAGAGACCAAACGCTACTCGCTGGTGTGCGCTTTGGGGGCTCTGCAGTTACCACCAGCAACACACACACACTCAGGTGCCGCTGCCGCCGTCAGACCAATTTACACACACAAACAACTGTCACAGCCTGGGCGGATCCACCGCACGGAGGGGAGATAGAGAGAGCAGCGACACATGCCCAGCATGTCCCGGCACCTGTTTTCCTTCTTTGTATGGTCATAAGGATTCAAAGACTGCTGTTAACCCTTTTACAGGGACGACACCGGCAAGTGCTAAATGAGAAGATGCCGGCGGAGAGTCAATCGGCCCCCTCCGTGTCCCCAGCCTTGTGGAGGTGAACGGTGATGTGTTTGCTATTGCAGAGGCTCAGTACAACAGGAAGGAAGCGGACGACCAAGCAGGCAGCCCCACTGGGATTGCGTGGAAGCATCTCAAGGAAGGTGTGGTCGGTCCGACAGAGATCCCGACGGCGGACGCGAGTCCTTTTTGCACGCAGCTTGAAGAGACAAGCGATGCATGCATGGCGGCAGCTGCATTCGCATAGATGGCAATCGCATTCTGTGGCGTCATGGAGAGCAGTGAATGTGCACAGCCTTTGTCTTCCCCTCTCCCTCCATTATTTTTCCCTTTTCTCCTTGAAGAGACATGGCAGCCGTGACATAAGCACCTACACGCCAGCAGGCATCTGTGCTTCGTCGTTCCTTTCTTTCCTCTCGCACAGCAGCCCCACCCACCCCACTTCACCTCTCTTCTTTGCGAGCTACCTTGAAGCAGTCTCAATTTTACAATCGTCCCTCCACAGACGTAGTGTCCGTAAGCGTCATGCAGCTTCTCCGAGTGATCGTGCAACACAAGTCAAGATGGCAGCCCGCGCGGGGTAACCCGTGCCTTGTCACAAAAAGCAACTTGCCCCAGAGAACGAGAGTATTCTCAGACACTTAAGGCAAGATTTGTCAGTAAAGATAAAAGAATGAGCTCCTCATCCGATGCCTCCACCATGCACCAATTA